AACATTTAATTAAATGTCCATATTAAAATTCTTTTAATTGGTTGTTTGTTAGAATCCATGCACTTAGTATGGACTCAACCACACTAGAATATCATCATTCATCACTTTCTTTCGTTCATTAACTTGAAGGACATTTGTCATTTTATACCATCACACACACACACACACATATATGTACAAGGGTGGACTGATGTTGTTATCAAGAGTCGAACAATGATCTAATGAAGTCCACTCATTTGAAGCATGATATCACATATTCTAGTATGAAAGTTTCGCTCACGTTTAATGAATTCAAAGTTATTCAACTTGTATTATGTTATACCTTGTACGGGACACGCTTTTGTTGCACAAACATGTTTAACATCACAACTGCATGCAACATACTAATTGTTTATATAACAAATGTCTTTTTCCTATTGCTACTGGGAAATGCTTATTAATATGTTAAATTGCAAATTATACATTTTTTTCTTAAAAACCAAACCGAAACCGTTTGAAACCGCACTGAACCGAACCGCAAAAAATTTCGGTTTCACTCAAAACTGCACCGAACCAAACCGTGCCCACCCCTACTCTTTGCGATAGTTCTTAGATGTTTTCAATAAATTGTAGTAGTTTATATAATTTATTTTTATTTTTATTTTTCATTTTAAGTTTCCCCATTACAATTATAATTTTTACTTATTTATTTTTTTAAATATATATATGCACTTATTTGTATGTCATATAATAAATTTAATTAAGATAAAAAATAAACCTTAGGCCACTAGTTAGAACCCTACCCGCCGCTCGATAACGACCTAGCGATATTTAAAACATTGGTGTGAACGGAATATGTTTGGAAATCAAACACAAAATTTCTTGATTATGCTCCCTCAATTGATTATCAGAATGCCCTTTTGATTATTCCTTCGAATGGTGTAAGGCCCAAGTTTGGATGTTATAATCCAAAACCCTTAGGTTCCATAAACTTTCCGGAGGCCGGATGAGGCGCTGGAGTTCCAGGTTAGGGGTCCATGTCCCCACGTTCATAGGCCGCCTATCGTAACCTCGCTTTATAGGGCTCGATCCTCCTAAACTGCTAACCGAACACGACGAAATGGGCTAAAAGAAACTCCTCTAATACTATCCATTTGAATTTTTTTAGATTCTTCTAACATCATATATATTGATAAGTAAATATGGATGTAAATGAATCTGTAAAAAAAATAAATGAAATGACTTAAATTAAAGGAATTTTAACGAAAAGCTCTCGGTACTGTTTACTTTAACGAAAAACCACATTTTTACACTAAAAAGTCAATCCTGGTACTATTCATTTTACCCTTTATTTTGTCCTTATCGTTAAAACTCGAAGTTTTATATCATTTTCATTAGTTTTCCTTTAAATTAATCCTTGCGATGTAATGAAAAAATCCTTTTGATAAGCATGCATCACTTTTGGTTATGTTGGAGTTTCTAGAAATGAGGGGTTGGTTAATTAAACTAGAATAGGTTAGGTGATTTGCATCCAGTGTGTTATCATTTAGTACGTTAAAGAAAAAACAAAAACTAAAGGACCAGAAAACTAGTCATGTCAAAAGAAATGGGTTTCTTTATCTTCTGCACTCCTAAATTTAGACCCATACCCGCTCCTTGAGCTGTTTATAAATATGATCTCCGTTCATCCATACCATAAATCAAACAAATATTTGAAATCACTTCATCAATTTAAGAAACATACACCTTGAGAAATGGACTCCTCAATCGGATATGCAACTTTCATTGCATCATTGCTCTTATGTCTTTCATCGTCTCCAACACCATTTGCAAATGCAAGAGCGTCTCCATTAATTAGAAGCGTTTGCAAGCAAACCCAAGACCAATTCGGCTACAACTACAAGCAATGCGTTAAATCTCTTTGGAAAGATATTCCAACTCGATCAGCATCTAATCTGAAAGATCTTGACACAGCCATTCTTAAATTAGCACTAACAAATGCACAACAAAGCAAAGCTTTCTTTGTCAATGCGCTCAACACCACCGGCAACAATATTGTTAAGGGCTCCGGAGCAGTAAAACAATGTGCAGATTCATATGATTTTGCAGTAGACGGTTTTGCTTTCTCAATACGTGGGATCAAAGATAATGACAAATCTGTCTCCCAAATACTCACACAAGTACAAGACGAAATTGTTCGTTGCGGAAAAGCATTGACCTCTACCGAAATTGAACTTCCTTATTTAGTATCTTCGTCAAACTTTTTGACCATGTTATATAGGGATGTTGCATTCCTCATTACTTCCCAGTTATTCCATATCTAGAAAAGATACGTGAACAATGTATTAAATTTAGTACGCATTACTTGAATACTAAATCATATACATATGATTACTCTATATTTAATTTGTAAAAGAAAAGAAAATGAAAAATTACTGTATGAAAACAAAAAGTTGTTTTAATATTGAATCCTTATGTGTTGCTCTTTTTGGTTGTCCATATAACACGTATACCCAAATATACTACACGTTGAATTCTTAAGAACACAATTTGCTATGCATCTCTAATCTTCACAGCATCAGTGGAAACTTTCAAACTATAATTCTTTATTGATTATTCAAATTTGAATAGATGAAGAAAATAACGCTTGGCAATGTGCATATATAACCATGATAGCATTTCCGATGACCGCACAACACGGAGTCACATTGATATTGATACAATTACACTTTTGAGTTTTGAGGTTTGGATTTTCTTTTTCTTCACTTTTCTACTGCTTATAGTTTTCAATGAGTTTTGGTTACACAATCTTACCAAAAAAAGTCGATCGTCAAGAAAGAGTTCTAAAGTTTGGTCACGTCGAGCACCCTTCCGTTGATAGGAAAGTGAAGACTTGAGTTCAGAGACGAAGTTGGCTCGCTCATTGAATTGTCGCGGTGTTGTGGAATCTCGACCTCCATCTCTATTTGTGCAAGAAAGAAACAGAATCTGTTGAGGCGGGTGGGAATTTCAACAATTCAAAGAAAAAACCGCATTCCACCACACTACTTCCAACTTAAGGTCTGGTGCCAATATGTTGACCCTCCTAGAAGCGAAGGGCAGTAATTTTCACCATTGGAAAATTGGTGGGTGCAATCCAGCAAATCGTATTCCTCTTTAAGAGACTAGTAAAACCTATATATCGATGACATCCGTTGTAGCAAAAATAAGTTTCAATTATATCTTATTTCTTTTATGGCTAACTCATGACATCATGAATTTGACGGGTGGTATTGGAAAATATAAAGAAAAGTATTTTAGAGAATTGATTTGATATGATTTAATTTTATTTGGTCTAGGTTTCCTTGTCTTGTGGACAATGATTGTTTTGATTTATTTCCTAGTATTCCTCTTTTGTAATCTTATAAATACCTCGTTATGAACAAGGATAAAATATTGAAGTTGTATTCGAGAATTATGAGATTGTAGAGAACTCCAAAGTTATCTTAAATCCTTTATTTTCAACTTAGTATAAAAAAAGAGTTTGATTATGGGCTTTGATGGTTGATGGGCTGGCGTTGTACAAACGGATTGGCATTGACCATGAGTCAAATTACAACAGTTTTTTACCCGTTCCCAATTTTGTCATGTTCTGGTTTGAGCGATGGAGGCTTGAAAATGTCCTGAAATGAAGGATCTTACAGGAACCAAGAGCCAAGCAAAAAAAAGTTTGCTAAATTTGGAAAAACCCCTAAATCCAGAGCTGCAGAGAAACACACACACAAAGCAAAGTTTGTGTGAGATACGTTCATTCTGTTATAAATCAAACAACTGAATTGCTAGCTGAGAGTAAAACTAATGTAACAAATGGCCAAACGAAATAGACCTAAGGAATATGAAAGGGCGCAGCAGTAATTTACAGATTAGGCGTCTGTGCTTCGTTTTGAGTCCATGATATATTGTCGAAAAGAATGCGGCGTCCTAGTTTAAACTCACTGGTTTGCTATGATATATTGATGTATTTTAGGGCCGTTTGGGCTTCTAAAACTACATTTTAAATTCTGTAATAAAAATCGGATCTTTCTATTTAAGTATGATTAATGTTGTTCTTATTCCCAAAACCCTTGAGCCTTTCCGAGGCAGTTTATAAGTTTATTTAAGTCATTTGGCTCCCAATGTAATGCATCAACTTAGAAAAAATCCAGACAACCTTTCGGTTTTATCCCAATCTCTAGCGGATTCCACAAACCTTTGTTCTTCAAGATTTACATTTGTAATCCTTCTATGCTCGTGCTGCATCAAAAACTGTTTAGCTGATTCGAAATAAAATGGAAGCCATATATAGAATTGTGTTATTTGGGGTTTTCCTCTGCTTGTTTTCAAGGGCCGTTGATGTGAAAATTAAGGAGAGTGATTTCTACACACTACATATGCCCTTGTATTTCTGATCTTTGGATTAAATAAATGAAAGGAGAATCAAGGGACCATAAATAAACAAGGATTGCAGAAGAAGAAAGCGTTTGCGGAAATATTTTCCCAAGATATTAATGCTTCCCAAATGGATATGATACTTGCTAGAGAGTTGATTAAAGATACTATGTTCTTCTGTATAAAGCTTCAACTAACTTTAGGAACGTTTGGTTCTCATAAAAAGCTTTAGAAAATAGCAGATGAGCAAAACCAGAATATGGGAAAGTGTGCATAAAACTTTAACGGGGGTGTTAAAGTTTTACACTGCAATCTGTTTGCAATAACTCGAGTTAGCATCCTTTTTGATCCAACTAATATCGCTAAACTACTTAATACTCTTTAGTTTCATAAACAAATAAATTGGATCCAAGATGGATACCAAACAACCGTTCCTTCAGTTTAGATTCCTGAGGGCTTTGTCATAGGATATGAACCCCATGAACCAGAATTCATGACCATCCCTTGTGACAATCTGTATATATTTTTCTGAAGGGTTCCAACTGTTTGCTGAAGGATTTACTGTTCTTAACTGATCAAGCGGCACCACCACCTACGTGAGATTAACTAACTTGTTAGACGAATGACAAACTTAAGAATTCGAATTTTATGTCCACTAGAATACCTAACTTGTAATGCATGAGAGTTGGATTTTCTGGGCACAAATAGTAAGAGAAATCGCTGCAGAAGGCTATTCGTTTATCGGAGATGTACAACATCCCAATCACAGGTCCATGAGAAGTTGATAGATAGCAAGCATATGAATGTAAGAGCTTTTCTCCTGTCATTCTTTCAAATGTCTGCTGAAACACTTTTTCTTCTCCTCCAGCAGTAAGCACCTTTGTTCCGGTATTTAGCCTTGCCATCATTGCGTCTGTGAAACTCAGGCACGTTCTCACTGTCATGAGAAAATTCCAAAATTTGTTTGACATAGGCTACTCGTTTGTTGTACAAAATGAAGATCGATTATGATCAATCAATTCAAAATTTCTGTAGGCTCTACCAAGAAAGAAAACTTAACAAATTGGCATTTTTCTTCTATTAAACTTGATAGCAAGGGAGAAATTAACATAGGAATTCATTTAGAGAGAAACTCACGGTGGTTCCAGACATTTTCCGCCTTGGCCTCTGCTCTTCTGGTGGCAACTTCAACCCTTTTACCGCACTGGCACAATGCCTCAACCATATTAGCCATCGGACCAGCAGCAGAAAGTAATAAAAATTAAAAATAAAAACGATCATCCGAACTTATCTGTGGTTGCAAATTTCTGCCTTCTTCTTCTTGGACGAAAATGCACTTGCAAAATAATTAACACCTTAGGTCAAGGTCAAGAGCCTCACGCGCCCATGATGAATAGGGGGAGGGGGGGCTTTGGCCGAAGAACCTCCGAGGCCAAAGTTATAATTTGATAGAGAAAATGTTTAGAGAATTTTTGGAGAATAATGAACTTAGGTTTTTGGGAGAAATGGGAACTATTTATAGGGGTGTGGCCGGCCTCTATTTGGAGTAAAGGGGTCCGACCACTTATGGTGGTTCCGGTGTAGCTCGAGGGTAATTTTATCATTTTCACCCAAAAGTACACATGTCGCCTACATAATTTTCTTGATTATTTTTTACTCCACAAATGCCCCCACACCTATTGGGCTGCTCGCAGGAAAGGGCAACATGTGTAGAGATCTCCAACTTTGATGCAGATTCTCACTTGGATTGTAATTAGATTCTTCTAGGAAAGGGAAATAAATCGCCTCCAAAGCCTATTTAAGCCTACCTTAAGTAGAGGATTAAATCAACTTCGGAGGGCAGTTATTTATCCCTACAAGAAAGAGAGAAAACTAGAGGATATTTGTTCCCCCTCCCCTAGCACTCTTGTTTGCTTGCCCGTGCAAAGAATTATCTTCTGTTGATTTCTTTGTCTTCTCCGCGTCGTATCGATGTAAGAAAAACTTAATTCTCCTTGTCTTCTTCTTGGGTGGTGCTGCCACGGGGTAGCTGTCTAGATGGTGTGGCATGTCGACTGACAGAGGCCAGGAGTTGGCTTGGCATGGACCAAAGAGGTGGTATGGCAGGAGCTATTGTTTATGCTGCTCGGCTTGACTAAAGCCAAGGACTGGATCGGCATAGGCCGAGGAAGTGGCGTGCTATGGGTCATGGTTTGAGCTATTTGCCAAAAATGAGGAAACTGCTTGCGTTTGATTTCTCAACTGTAGTAGATGAAGCAGTCAAGGATGAAGCTGCCAAGATCAAAGCTGCTAAAGATGAAGTGTCAGATGAGCGAACTGTTAAGTGCAAAGTGGCTACTGCCCCCTCACCATTTGCTGCCTATTTGGTCTTCAAACAATCAGTCTTTTGAGTTATGTGGCTTTCTCGCATTGGAGAGCTTACCAGATGGGTGTCGGGGAATTAGTTTACCCTCTCGCACTGGAGAGCTTACCGATATGGGTGTCGGGGAATTGGTTTACCCTCTCGCACCGGAGAGCTTACCAATATGGGTGTCGGGGAATTGGTTTACCCTATCGCTGGAGCAATTAGTTTATCCTCTAGCACTGGAGAGTATACCCAGATGGGTGTCAGGGGATTAGTTTACCCTCTCACACTGGAGAGCAATTAGTTTATCCTCTCGCACTGGAGAGCAGACCCATATAGGGGTTTGAGCAGTTGTTGTAGAAAGCAGTTAAGCCAGGCTTATGAATAACTTCTTGAAAGAAATGGATCAACTGTGCAAGAAGGTAGAAATTGCATAATAAACTAGATAATCCTTGGCTTGCGAGGTTTTGTTCGTCGAGCTGCTTGAGATTTCGAACTTATTTGGAAAAGCCCTAATGGGGCTCAGCGGGTGATGGAGATTTCCCCTGCTTGTGTAGGCCGTGTCGTTAACCTGTCAAGATACTTGTCGCACCGACCTTTATTTGTCAGCTTCTCAAGGTACTGCTTCTACTTTTAGTAGTCGTTGGTAGTGTGGCCTGGTCCTTGATGGAATGTGCAATACTTTGTCTGATCTAGCCTAGTAAGATCGCTCTTCATAGGTGACGGCAGTTCAAACCAAGGTTCGTTCTTGAGCTTACGAAGAATTTGGCCAATTGTAACAGTGAACTTGGAGAATGTTTCGGGCGCTGAGTCTTCTCTGGTTGGGGGATGCTTCTTTTCTGACTTGTTTTTGTTAGACTGCTTGGCCTCGTCCCATAGTGCGTGCTTCTTCGCCAAAGCATACGAAGCTACCAGGGTCAGTTCTTTTCCTATGATCAATTTTTCAAAAAAAAAGGTGTTCGGTGGGAAGCCCATTTCGGAATGTTGTCTTTGCTATGTCGTGGCTACAGAGCATGTGGCATGTCACTAGCAAGTGAGCAGGCTGTTTGCAGGCTACCGGTTGAACTTGAGCTGGATTGAGTGACTACTTCTCTCAATCCACCATGCTACCTACTCCGATGTGAGGTGGAGAATGCTCCTTGCGAGCCTAGTTGTGAATGAACACTTCGCTAAGGTTATCCATGTTGATAATCAGAGTGTAGCCTTAACCATGAACGTATGCTAGTCTGTAGGCTTAATCGGGAGTGCACGCTCATTCGCCTACTAAGATGAGAGCATACGCTATCTTGAGGATCCAGATGGGAGAGTAAACTACTAGAATGCTTGGATCGTGGCTGGTTGATGGGCCATTTGCTGGGACGCTACTGGAGAGGTTCGTCGTCTGCCCTTGTCATGCTTCGGGACACCTCATCTAGAGCACGTTGTATCTCGGTACATTGTAAGAGCTGATTCACCAAGGTTGTCTGCTATGCGAGGGCGCTTGTCAACTCTATAACTTGCCGTGACAAGTGTGGTTCGTCATTTGGGTTGGAATACCTTGGACGGTATGCATCTCCTTGAGTGGCGGAAGTGTAATGGACTCCAGGCGCAAGATTTAAGTTAGGAAATGTCAAATCTACGGAGCAATGGGGTGAAAATGTCCCCGGTTCAATCATCAGTCCAAAAATCTGAATCCGTGATTGTTGAACCGGTCTTGGACCGGTCGGGATTGCCAAGTGAGCCACGGGAGCGGGTTGGACCGCGGAAGTGAGCAATGCCATATGCAGAGCACGTGGGCGGGGTGCGATGCTGGGAACGCATTGGATTTGGGCCGAGGGAATGGTCAGCCCAACTCGGGCCTGCAATGCGTCTTGGGCATGCGCTGTTTGGGTAGTGGTTTGGGCCTACTCGTGCTGGGTTGGCTTGGCTGCCCTGCAGCGTGGGCTGTAGATTGGGACGCCTATTAGGCTTCTTGCACAGCTGCTGCCAGCGTCTAAGCTTGGGCTTGGTCTTGGGTTTGGGCTGCTGTAGTGGCAGCGCATAAGACCATGGTTTGCTGCCATGAAGCTGGCCCACTCCCCACTGCCACGGTGGTCCCCGTGGCTACCATGGTGGTGGTGCTCCATGGTGGCAAAATTGCTCCTCTTGCCACCGCGTTGAGCTTTGTGGATCGTCGTGGTGGGGCTACATCGCAATCTCCATCACTTGATCCGGATCTTTGAACGTAGGAAGTTTCCTTCGTTGTGGTTTCCAAATTTCTTGTCATTGTACTTTTCTTTTAAGTTTATTCAACAAAAAATTTACATGAAAAAATTCTAGGAATAAGAACGTACGAAAAATCTACGAATGAACAAAAAATGAGAAACCTTGAATGCGAGAGTCTTCTTCACGCGTGTGAATCAAACTATCAATGAAAGCACCAATTTATGGTTGCAAATTTCCGTCTTCTTCTTCTTGGACGAAAATGCACATGCAAAACAATTAACACCTTAGGTCAAGGCCAACAGCCTCATGTGGCCACGATGAATGGAAGGCCTTTGGCAGAAGAACCCTCGATGCCAACATTAGAATTTGAGAAAGAAAGTGTTTAAATAATTTTTGGAGATGAATGAACTTAGGTTTTTGGGAGAAATGAGAGTTATTTATAGGGGTGTGGTCGGCCCCTATTTGGAGAAAAGGGGACCGGCCAGTTATGGTGGTTTTTGGGTGTAATTGCAAGATATTATGTCAAAATAATATCTTGCAATCAATTAGGAAATTAATTTAGGTAATTAATCCTAATTTGAATGAATAATTGAGGGTTACCTTGGGGGGAGGATTTGACGATGATGGATGAAATAGATTTTGAATAAATACCTATTTTGATCACTTTTGACCTTGATTGAGTCGTGATTGTACATTGCTTGTTCTTGGAAGTTCCGGTGTAGCTCGAGGGTAATTTTGTCCTTTTCACCCAAAAGTACACATGTCGCCTCCATAATTTTCTTGATTATTTTTTACTCCACATTATCTGCGTGAGTCTTAATGAAATGACGTAAAAAAAAAATTTATTCGCATATATCAAACTATAATTGAAAAACGTAAGAAGTCAAGTAGCACTAAAATTTAAAATTTGGTACTTTTATAAGCATGGATAAAACTAGAGCACAAAAGTTTCCCACAAGAAATTTCTTTATCAGTTAAATTAAGGCTAACTAATGATCATTATTATAATCGAAGGATTGATTGTTAAGAGAACAACGGAAACACTAACGCTTGGTAGAAGAATTCGATGTCACCAGAACAGGCGAATAATGGACAGTAACTGCAAGTGCTGCAAGACCGTCTTGAACTGCAAGTGCGTTTGCAAAGAGTGGCTTTCTATAATTTCTGACCCTCAATTTGCTCGTCTCCATCTTCCGAGATCACCCATTGGGATCTTGATGAAGGAATGGCACCTTGATAATGATTGGATAGCGAGAAAACTTGATTTTGCCCAGATAGTAGAAGGTGCTGGTTCTGATTTTGGGGTCGAGAAAACGACTTTAACTCCTAATAATAGCCTGCCCAATTTTCGGTTCGAGTTGATAAACTCATGTAACGGTTTACTTTGTTTGTATGGACTGGAGACTGATGGCCTGTATGTGTGCAACCCTGTGTTGGGTTGGGTGAGTGCATCACAATTCCACCTAATAGTAATGGTAGGCAGCGGTGCGGGTTTATTGCACTTGGTTACAGCATTGGGACCAATGATTACAAGGTGTTGCAAACAACCTCATCTAACAACAAATTCTATGGTGAGCGTGAGGCTGAGATATACACCCTTGGCACAGGAGTTTGGAGAAGCATTGGAAGTGTTCCTCAAACTACAAACGAAGCAATTCATTTACCGTTTGACGCTTTTCTGCACGGAGCTCAGCATTGGGCTCCATATGACTTGTCAGAGTTTTCTATATATTCTTTCAATTTTGAAAGAGAAAAATTTCGATTGCTACCCCCGCCTACACTCTCACCCGGGCTGTTAGAAGCAATGCATAAGTGGTATTCAGAGTACTTACACTTGGGACAGTTAGGAGGTTGTCTCCTTCTATGTGTGCATGATAAACTGTCAACGAAATTAGAGTTCTGGGTTATGAAGGATTATGGGGTCCAACAGTCTTGGACTAAAATTCTTGTCATTGAAAACTTGTCGACACTATGTTTTGGGTACATGCCAATTAAGTTTTTGAGTAATGGAGAAACACTAATAGCGTACGAGGACAGACAAGGCAACGGCATTAGCAGACGGCTTGTTGATTGTTTGCCTGGGCTGTGTCTGGAGTTTCAGAGGGACGACTATTCTTATGATAAGGGTCTATATATTATTAAGACCTTCAGATGCCAATGAATGGTTAGGAAAAGGTTATGAAGACATTCAGATGCCGTCGCACTTAAAAGCAATAAATAATATGCCAACTTTTGTCTAGTAAACCATATTGTTGGATATTGTTTCATATATACTTTTCCGTTTTCGCTTATGATAGACACACTTAAATTTGTTATAGCAAATATAAATTTGTTGAGATTCTTCAGAAGTCTATATATTATTTTTATCGAGAAGTAAATATGAATGTAGATGAATTTGTAAAAAGAGCAAATGAAATGGCCAATAGTTAGGACCCTAACGGCCGCTCGATAATGGTCTGGTGATGTTTAAAGCATTGGTGTGAAAGGAATATTTCTGGAAATCAAACACAAAATGTCTTGATTATAATCCCTCGGCTGACTTCCGAATCATCCTTGTGATTATTCCTTCGAACGGTGTAAGGCCCAGGTTTGAATGTTATAACCCACAACCCTTAGGTTGAATAAACATTTCGGAGGTCGAACAAGGCGCTGGACTTCCGGGTCAGGGATCCATGTCCCCATGCCCCTAGGCCGCCTATCACAACCGTGCTTAATAAGGCTTGAGCCTCCCAAATTGCTAAACGAACACAACGAAATGGGCTAAAAGATACTCCTCTAACACTGTCAATTTGAATTTTTTAGATTCTTCTAAAATGATATATATTGATAAGTAAATATGGATGTAGACGAATTTGTCGAAAAACAAATGAAATGGCTAAATTAATCATTGCAATGGAATAAAAAAAAATACTTTACATAAGCATGCATCACTTTTGGATATATTGGAGTTTCTAGAAATGATGAGTTGGTTAATTAAACTAGAATAGGTTTGGTGGTTTGCATCCAATGTGTTATTAGTTAGTACGTAAGAGAAAAAAACAAAAACTAAAGGACCAGAAAACTAAACGACATGGGTTTCTTTACCTTCTACGCTCCTAAATTTGGACCCATACCCCCTCCTTGAGTTGTTTATAATATGATCTCTATTCATCCATTGCTTAAACCAAACGAATAATTTATAATCACCTTAGCATCAATTTAAGAAACATACACCTTGAGCAATGGAGTCCTCAATCGGATATGCAACTTTCATTGCATCCTTGCTCTTATGTCTCTCATCGTTTCCAACCCCATTTGCAAATGCACGAGCGTCTCCATTAATTAGAAGTGTTTGCAAGCAAACCCAAGACCAATTTGGCTACAACTACAAGCAATGCATTAAATCTATGTGGAAAGATATTCCAACTCGGTCAGCATCTAATCTAAAAGATCTTGACATAGCCATTCTTAAATTAGCACTAACAAATGCACAACAAAGCAAAGCTTTCTTTGTCAATAAACTCAACACCACCGGCAACAATATTGTTAAGGGCTCCGGAGCAGTAAAACAATGTGCGGATTCATATGATTTTGCGGTAGACGGTTTCGCTTTCTCAGTGAAAGGGATCAAAGATAATGACAAATCAGTCTCCCAAATACTCACACAAGTACAAGATGAAATTGTCGTTGCGAAAAGGCATTGACCTCTACCGAAATTGAACTTCCTTATTTAGTATCTTCGACAAACTTTTTGACCATGTTATATAGGGATGTTGCATTCCTCATTACTTCCCAGTTATTCCATATCTAGAAAAGATACGTGAACAATGTATTAAATTCAGTACGCATTACTTAAATACTAAATAATATACATATAATTAATGTATTTTTAATTTGTAAAATAAAAGAAAATAATGAAAAATTAATGTAAGAAAACAAAAAATTGTTTTAATATTGGATCCTTCTATGTTGTTATTTTGGTTGTCCATATATATTACACATATACCCAGATATACTACACGTTGACCCTACAATAATTATGGGCAATGTGCACAATAAATTATATGTGCCCTTTGAGGCCAAAGAGCACCAATAATTGTACCCATGAACCAATAGCAACAGTGCAACAACTAAAATATTGTTTGTGCCCTCTATGGGCGTCACCATTTGTCAAAGAGCACAATAAGGTATGTTGTGCTGAAAAGTATAAGCACAAATAAAGGTCCTTTTGTGCCAAGTTCTTACAAAGTTGTTAAATGACTGCTGCCACCCATGTATGTTAGCACATTTATTGTTATTGTGCCCAATATGTCAACTATTAAAAAAAAAAAACTGAAATCACCTACAAATTGAGATTTTACCTCGATGGTGAAAGTGAAAGAAAATTGAATTGTCCATTTGGTTACTGAGAAAGTGAAAGAAAATTGAAGGGAAAGTTGGGGAAAAAGGAGAATTTACCTCGATGGTGAAGATGTCAATGGTGGTTTCTAGGGTGGCCTCCAGCGACCCTCCTTTTTTGCTTGCCCACATATTTCTGACTATCCAGATCGATGTAGCTTGAAGAAGACAATAGTAGGAAAGAAAATCAAATAGATCTATATATTTTTTGAAAATCAAATCAAATAAGAGAGAATTAGAGAGAGACCGAATCTAGGATTTGGGAATGTAGAGAATAAAGATGGTCCGAATCTGGGAGTTATGCCTTGGATTGGTTCATCAATAACCACCAGATCGGGAAAAGGAAGAGAGACGGACCGAATCTGGGAAGGTAGAGAGAAAGGGAGTCAGAGAGAGAGACAGAGGTCGACAAGAGGATTCTAGAGGTATAATTAGACGGTCGTTGGTGACGGGTGGACAGCTGCTTTGTTGCATGAAAGAGGAGGGAGAGAGAGGATGGGGGAGAGAGGAAGACTGCTGAGGAGGACAAGGAGTAGAGTTTAAGAGAGGGGGGTGAGAGAGGAAATGCGTGAACTAAATGTAAAGGAATTGAGAATGGGAAAAGTAAAAGCAATGGACACGAAAACCTACTTTTAATTTAAATATATTACATCGGAGAGCACGAAATCTTTTATTGTGCTTTCGTAAATTAATAAACAAATCTTATTTCTAACATTTATAAGGGTGACACATGCAAGTAGGCACAAATACACTTCATTTTCGGCACAAACCAGTGTTCTTTTTACTTAGAGAGCACATAAAAAATAGTTTTGTGTTCAATGATAATCAACACGCACAGATATGTATTGGTGCTCATTGAAAATGAAAAGGACACATATCAATTGTGTTCTTAGCCCACTTTTCTTGTAGTGTGAATTCTTAAGAACACAATTTGCTATGTATCTTTAATTTTGACAGCATCAGTGGAAACTTTACAACTCTAATTCTTTGTTGATTATTCAAATTTGAAAAGATGAAGAAAAGAACGCATGGCAATGTGCATATATAACCATAATAGCATTTCAAATGACCGCACAACATGGAGTCACATTGATACTGATACAATTACACTTTAAGGTTTGGATTTTCTTTTTCTCCATTTTTCAACTGCTTTCAGTTTTCAATGAGTTTTGGGTATACAATCTCACAAAGAAAAAGCCAATTGGCAAGAAAGAGATCTAAAGATTGGTCCGTTGAGCACCCTTCCGTTGATAGGATACACGGATCAAAAGGAAGACTTGATTTCAGAGACGAAGTTGGTTCGCTCAATGAATTGTCGGGGTGCTGTTGGAATCTCGACCTCCATCTCCGTCCGTGCAAGAAAGCGACATGATATGTTGAGGCAGGTGGGAATTTCAACAACTCAAAGAAAGGACCGCGCACCATCACACCACTTCCAACTCAAGGTCCAGTGGCAATATGCTAACTTCCTAGAAGCGAAGGGTAGTACTTTCCGCCATTGGAAAACTGGTGGGTGCATTCCAACAAGTCATATTCCACTTTTAAAGACTAGTAAAACTTTAATATCGATCACATCTATTGTAGCAAAAACAAATTGATAACTTTCAATATGGGCTTCAACTCCGATTGTGGAATACATTAGGTTTCTATAAGCCCTCACTACATTTTGGTACAAAATTAAAACTTAAGAGCTAGTTTGATAACCAATTCGTTTTAAGTTTTTAATTTTATTTTTAATTATATAGATTGATGAATAATATGTGATCTGAAGATCAATGAAGATAGGCGAAGGATAGATGGTGAAAGCAGTGTGACTTGATGTTCTAAAAAATAGTCTAGACAGCCAGCCAGCACCACGATTAATTACTAAATGGTTAGAAAATCAAGTATGGCATCTACGTGGGTTTAGGCAAAATAAGTGTTTGTTTTGTTTTTTTTAATTAACTTTGAGTCTTGACTCACCCTTTCCCAGACAGAAACAGGAAACCAATAATGCAATGTGGTCGTCTCTTTTTGCGATAGTTCTTTGATGTTTTCAATAAATTGTAGTACTTTATATAATTTATTTATATTTATATTTTTCATTTTAAGTTTCCCCATTACAATTATAATTTTTACTTATTTAATTTTTTTTAAATATATATATGCACTGATTTGTATGTCATATAATAAATTTAATTAAGATAAAAAAAAACCTTAGGCAACTAGTTAGAACCCTACCCGCCGCTCGATAACGATCTAGCGATATTTAAAACATTGGTGTGAACGGAATATGTCTGGAAATCAAACACCAAATTTCTTGATTATGCTCCCTCAACTGATTATCAGAACGCCCTTTTGATTATTCCTTCGAATGGTGTAAAACCCAAGTTTGGATGTTATAATCCACAACCCTTAGGTTCCATAAACTTTCCGGAGGCCGGATGAGGCGTTGGAGTTCCAGGTTAGGGGTCCATGTCCCAACGCTCATAGGCCGCCTATCGTAACCTCGCTTAATAGGGCTCGATCCTCCTAAGCTACTAACCAAACACGACGAAATGGGCTTAAAGAAACTCCTCTAATACTATCAATCTGAATTTTTTAGATTCTTCTAACATCATATATATTGATAAGTAAATATGGATGTAAATGAATCAGTTAAAAAACAAATGAAATGACTTAAATTAATCCTTGCGATGTAATGAAAAAATCCTTTTGATAAGCATGCATCAGTTTTGGTTATGTTGGAGTTTCTAGAAATGAGGAGTTGGTTAATTAAACTAGAAAAGGTTAGGTGCTTTGCAT